CGGACTCTGAACGATTGCTCAGGGGCTTGTTACTCCTGCTGCTAAAGCAGCCCTGAGCTGTTATATACATCTTCGGGGCATCAACCATTGTGACCGGTTAAGTTCGTGCCTGAAAGTCCTGCTTCAACAAGAAGAGCCTGCCACCCATCAATGCTGCATGAGCTCCGGTTGTAAGACATCTCACCGATCTCTAAAGAACATTACCGCAAGGCTGGACAAGGGGGGTTGTGGCTGGGAGGGCCTGGGCATTGGCGGCCTCTGAAGAGGTAGTGCTACACTTACATTTAGTAGTTGCTCAGCAGGGAGTGGTGGAAACTTCCAGAAAGCTCGCCTTAGCTGCAGACAACTTGCAGCAACGTTTGCCGACGGGGACTTTTGGTGGGCTCAGCAGGGCAGAGACAGCCTGGACAATTCCTATTGGGTTTTGAAAGCCAATAGAATTAGACTCTATTCAAGAGAATCTATTCTATTGGCTTCTTTTCTATCTAGTCATCTTGGTTGCCTCGTCAGGAATCCTGTTTACAATTCTTATTTAAATTTATTTTCCCTACAATGTTCAAAACATACTTATTGGTTAAAATTTTCCGAGAGTTAATTACCTTAAAGTATTTAAATCTATTTTCATGTCTTAAAAAGTAAATAAGAAAAAGAACAAAAGAAAAGCATAGAAAAAGAAAAGAGAAAGAGAGAGAGAGAGAGAGAGAGAGAAATAAGAAAATAAAGAAGACTCATAAATTCTTATTGTTTGAATACTAAAACCTGTGGGTAAATGCTTACAAAAGATTTTGGACTGAAATCAATTATGTAAGAGTGATGCCAAAGGAGGCACAACAAAAGAGAAGCATATGATGATCTTGCTCAAATTTCAAAAATGAAAAATCCAAACAAGGAATTCCTAAGGCTGTAGACTAGGCTGGGAATTTGAAAAAAAAACTTTCCAGAAGACAATTGGAAATTATTGTATTGTTTGCCAAGAAAACAAGGGTGTGTCCATATAATCACTAGGATTTCAGCTTGACTCAGGGATGATTATACTATTTTGTTCTGAAATTCCTCCCTCTGTCATGTGTCTGAGTAACGAAACACTTAAAAGGACTTTCAGGCATGTTTTCTCCTAAAAGCTTTTATTAATGTTAAAGTACATCAGCACGGCATGGGGGAATGCTTAGAACTGCTTATCTTCCGGTACGCCTAGCATTCCAGACATTGTCCACTCCCTTATTGTAGGGTCATGGTTCACATCTTCCAATCAACTTGAA